TATATTCACATACCGTTCCCAGTTATCTGCCCTAACCTGGATGGGTCAGACTAGCCTGATCTCATCAGATCTTGGAAGCCAAGCAGGGTCAGCCCTATTTAGTACTTGGGATGGGAGACCACCAAAGCAGAACCAGGCAATGGCAAACCTCCTATGAACATCTCTAGCCTTGACAATGCCTAAGGGGTGGCCCCTTGACAACAGGTTCCTCCACCACCCAGTTAATCTCCTCATCTGCCAACGCCTAAGGGGTGGCCCCTTGACAACACTTTTCTCCACCACCCAGTTAATCTCCTCATCTGCAGAAGGAGGGATGACAGCTAGGAAAACCCCAGTTCGTATTTGGATGGGAGACCACCAAGGATGTCTGGGGCTGCTATGCAGAGGCAGGTAAAGGTAAACCACTTATGACTATCTCTTGCCTTGAAAACGCCTAAGGGGTTGCTACTTGACAGCACTTTCCACCACCACCCAGTTAATCTCCTCATCTGCAGAAGGAGGGATGACAGCTAGGAAAACCCCAGTTCGTATTTGGATGGGAGACCACCAAGGATGTCTGGGGCTGCTATGCAGAGGCAGGTAAAGGTAAACCACTTATGACTATCTCTTGCCTTGAAAACGCCTACGGGGTTGCCACTTGACAGCACTTTCTACCACCACCACCCTGTTAATCTCATTTGCTGAAGGAAGGTCGACAGCTAGCAAAACAATCTTTTCAAGCTAAATCAAGGGGACAGTGCAAGAAATTACACGGGGCAGGAACCCAGTCTTAGGGAGTAGAGAAAGTGGAGTGAAGTGAAGCTGGGGGGAGGGGGGGGCTCTCACTAACGCAGAAAGCAAGCTGGCGGGCCCATCTGCGAATGGTACAGGGCTACCTATTCCCAGGGATGGGCAAGGGACGCACTGGAATAGACGTCATCTGCCTTGAAAGTGGCAAGGAACTATTGCAAGAAGATCAAGCAACCCGTGCGGGGAGGAGTGGCATGGGGCCTACAGGTACACCAAAGGCGCATTCAGCTAATTCTCCCTTTCCCACGTGCCAATAGATATGGGGAACAACGAAGCCAGCAAACGGGTGTACGCAAGTGAAAGGCATTTATCAGACAGCCTGGCTGCTGCACCCCTTCCCTCAACGGGGACATCTGAGCTTTTGCTGAGTCTCTAGCCCAGCTGCATTCCCAGGCGGCCAGACCCCTCACACCGAAGGACCTGGCAAAAGAAGGCATTCAATGCTCCTCGCCTCTTTCCCGCCCTCGCCCAGCCCCGCTTGGCTCACCCAGAGCCGGCTGCGGTGGTAGCCTTGATCGAGTTGATGCGGAGCCGATTGGCCGTGTCTCTCAGGGCCTGCAGCGTCTGCTGGTCGGGCTTATGGTAATCCTCCATGGAGAAGCAGGAGCGCGGCCGGCAGCAGGCTCGAGTTACAGGCAGCAAACAGCGAATGAAGTTGGGCAGGCCTCGGCTCGGCGACTGAGGCAGGAGAGGAGGAGCAGCCCGGCCAAGCTCTGCCGAGCGAGGAGGAGCCAACCGCCGGGGCTGCCTCTGGAGTCGGACGCAGGCGTGGCGATGGCCAAGCGGGGGAGAACTCCCGCCCCGGCCTAGCCCATTCCACGCCCCTCGAGCGACTGGAAAGCGGGAGGACGAGCCCCGGCAGCTCCGAGGACACCGGGCTAGTTTCCACAGAGCAAGATTGGAAAGGCTCACTGCGGAAAGGCGCCATCCTGCTGTCTTGACAATAGTCCACCAACCAATTGCTCGCCTTCCCTGCCTAGTGAGGACTTCACGCTTTGCGCTGTACTTTTGAACTAACACACGCTGAAGTCCGCCGTACAGGAAAAGGAAGCAATCGGTGCCTTCCTGGTAACGAAACCCTTGTCTGCGTCCATGTGCGTTTGAGACAGGTACCTACGATGGATTATGATACTTTTCTTTAATGCTCTCCCGTCCCCGCCCCCGAAAAAGGAGTTTGCAAAACGCTGCTCTGCAAAAAGAGGCTGATAAACTCCAACTGGTGTACGTTAATCATTCGCCGAATTGTTGTTGTTCAGTCGCACAGTCGAGTCCGACTCTTCGCGACCCCATGGACAAGATCCCGCCAGGCCTTCCGGTCTTCCGCCGTCCTCTGAAGTTGGCACACTGTCTAACCATCTCATCCTTTGCCGTCCCCGTTTTCTTTGACCTTCAATCTTTCCCAGCATCAGGGACTTCTCCAGTGAGTGCTCCCTTCTCATTGGGTGGCCAAAGTATTAATTAGCCCTAGCCTAAAAGTACCGTTGCA